CGGTCCGCGACCTTCAGCACTCACTGGATCGGTTCGCAACCGAGTGTGAAGCGGCTGGGATGAGGATCAGCACCTCCAAATCTGAGGCCATGGTTCTCAGCAGGAAACCGATGGACTGTCCACTCCAAGTAGGGAATGAGTCCTTACCCCAAGTGAAGGAGTTCAAGTATCTCGGGGTCTTGTTCTCGAGTGAGGGAACAATGGAGCGTGAGATGGGTCGGAGAATCGGCAGCGGGAGCGGTACTGCAGTCTCTTTACCGCACCGTTGTGACGAAAAGGGAGCTGAGCCAGAAGGCAAAGCTCTCTGTCTACCGCGCCATTTTCGTTCCTACCCTCACCTATGGTCATGAAGGATGGGTCATGACCGAAAGAACGAGATCGCGGCTACAAGCGGCCGAGATGGGTTTTCTCCGCAGGGTGGCTGGTGTCTCCCTTAGGGATAAGGTGAGAAGTTCGGTCATCCGGGAGGGACTCAAAGTTGAACCGCTCCTCCTTCGCGTCGAAAGGAGCCAGTTGAGGTGGTTCGGGCACCTAGTTAGGATGCCACCTGGGCGCCTCCCTAGGGAGGTGTTCCAGGCACGTCCAGCTGGGAAGAGACCAAGGGGTAGACCTAGAACCAGGTGGAGGGATTATATCTCTTCGCTGGCCTGGGAGCGCCTTGGGATCCCCCAGTCAGAGCTGGTTGATGTGGCCAGGGAAAAGAAAGTTTGGGGCTCTCTGCTGGAACTGCTACCTCCGCGACCCGACCACGGATAAGCGGGAGAAGATGGATGGATGGATGTTTTTGCATGACAGTGGCGTCTAAAAAATGTTTATTTTTAGTTATAATCATCAAAAAGTCTACAATTTTAAACTATAACATTATATAGTTACTTACTGATAACATTAGTAAATAATCTTAAAGCTTTGAGAAATTATATTTATTTGACATGGCAACATTCCTTATGATTGCACCACCTTACTCTTGCAACTCATTTCAGCAGAACTCTGACGCCTGTATTAACTGTTACTCTCGCTACAAAGATCATAAAGGATAAATAGTTTAATTATAAAATAATATTTAACATTGGTTATACCACCGACATTGATTCGGTTCTTGTAAAGTAGCAGTAACTAGTAGCAGAACTATCCACAATTATTTTTCAGCCATTATTTTATCAGCCATGAAACTCACTTGGGGTCGTCTTTATAATGTAATCCCTTGTTTACTGTAAAGCTCCCATCCTACAGTTGTGCCACCCTGACTTTTTAGAACATGCTAATAGCTAGACAAAAGGACATCTTGCTGACCGCTAGCCGCCATCTATTTTCTCACCTGAGGTTATTGTCGTTGCTCTCTTGGAGTAGTTTATTTCTCACTGGCTGTGACCATCTGATCAGCTGAGCAGTCGTCACCTGAGAATTTAAAATTAACTGCGCTAATGAATCCATTGAAAGATTTTTTTAAAGGCTTTTAAACATTCTGCATATTTATTGTACATTTCATTTAAATTGTACAATTGATCTACTCACCAGGTTATTTCTTGTTGCAAGCACGAGATCCAAAATAAGATGATTTCTCGCAGGGAAATATTTTTCTCTGAAGAGCTGACAGGGCAGGGCCCAACGTATGACAACAATGAAACAGTCATAATACAAAAATCCCGGATGCGAAAGTCGACTTATGGGAATTGGTCTGGTTTTACCCGTTGTGGAACTTCCCTGAAGACTGGGAGAGGTGTGGTTCAGCACAAAGGCTTTGCCGTCAGGGGGATATCAAAAGTAACCTGTCCCCAGCAAGATGCAGCCAAAAGTTAACATCAATGAAATGTCAAACGTGAAGTAGACAATACAACTAATTTACATATTACTTTCATCAAATATGCCACATCTAGAGATGGGTGTTACCTCTTAGCTGGCATTGCAGCAAAGTTATGTTTCTACATATTTCCCTTAGCATTGTTGAAGGAAGTCTGACAACACAAAATGTAATTGCCAACAACTGTTTCACTGGATTTGTTGTGAATATGACAAATAATAAATGCTTTTGCTCGTTTGACCGCATCATTCTCTTGATTCACCAAGATGAGAACACATCAGAAAAGCCTGATCATGGTTTGATTAGTGGGCTACGGTTCAAAGAGTTACTGAAACTGAGTGTGTATTCCCAACAATCCTTATCTCTGTCACATCACCAAGTTTGATAAATGCATTCCTGTACGTCTGACGCCTATACCTCATCGGTTTGGAAACAAATCAAACCCTTAGGGTTAAAACACAGCCAGAGATTCATGGGTGGGTTCAGTTTGAGTCAACATCGACGAAAATGTAAAATACATTTGTAATAAATATTATTGGTCCACCTTTTTCAATGCACTTTCCGAAAGGACGGCAGGAATAGATAGCAAATAGCCGGTACACCAAAATGGTGCCATTTTGGTCATTTATGCCTGCTTTGGCTTCAGTTAGCAGGCTAAAGAACAAAAAAAAAGACAATAATGATACATTTTGAAAAGAAGCGGAGTGTCACAAATCCCTTCAAATCATCTCAAATCGCTGCAAAGGTTGGCAGATGAGCTAGCTGTCTACCTTGAATGTATGAATCATGTTAGCTCAAAACCAAGAATGCACTGTTTGAGCCAATGTTTGTCACAGAAGAATTGCTACAGTTTTGTTTACCAGCAGCCAAGTTGAGATGGGTGTTCACCTCATAGCAAAGCTATGCTCATACAGAATTTTTTTGATTTGCCTTAGCATTGTTGTTTCTCTCAGGCAAGACAAGAACAAAAAGAAGACTCACTTTTTATTCCCACTGATTTCAAGCAGCCTTTAATTGATGCACTCAAGTGCTCGTGTTAACTAATGTGCATCATCCCTAGTTAAATTAAAAAGGATTACTGTCGTCATTTTTTATTTAACCAATTGAAACACGCCTCCTTAAGCGCAAGTTTTAAAACACAACAGATGATTATTCTGTTTTATAGTCTATTGTGTCCTATGGCAATGGTGTTAGGAATGTGCCTTATTTTTTTATGAAAATAGACCAGATGCATGTCTGACTTTAGATTTTTTTGCTCATTGCATGATAGTTTGTTTGTTGTCACAAATATAAGTGAAAAGAAGGGGGAAAGTTTAACAATAAAATGGTGACTGACTACTTTAGAATCTGCTTGCCTTTAATGTTGATAAGAAATAGGAGATAAGATATGTAAAATGAATTCAGATTTTTTTCTAAAGTAAGATAAATATACACAAAAACATTTAAAAATAAATAAAGACAGATAATTTCACTAGTTGTTACGGACTGATATTTAATTTAAAAGAACAAGTGTAGAAACCACATCACAACTCAGAAGGTTTATGTTACCCTTTATATATACAGTCTATGGGTGAAGCAAATAAAATAAAACATATTTATATAGCCCAATATCTCAAAACACATTTGTCTCAGGGGGCTTTACACTTTGTACAGATCAACTAACATGAATGAAGGTGTACAAATATATAATACAATTCCAAGATAGACTATCTATTTGACTAAATGTTAATGTTATTGTAAAACACAAGTAAAATTAAGTATATACAAAATAAAAATACAATAATAAATATGACCCAGAAGGATTTTCAAGGCCAGCATGAGCCAGCCCTAATTATAACAACAGATAACATAGCATACAGCACTGCTCAGGGCTGACTGTAAACATAAAAAAAGGAAAAACGTTTTCAAAGATGATCAGATGTTTAGCCGACATTTAAAGACGATAAAACTTTATGATCAAATCTGACTCTCTTCAGTGGCAGCAGGGATGATGTTCAGAACAAACTGCGGTTGAATTATTTATAACACGGGAGTAACTTTTCCTGCCAGTATGAACTTTTCCTATGTGTAATAAGAAATATGTGTTAAATATAGTTTTAAAAGTAAATCTGAAAATAATTGTACACATGCAAAATCCAAACAACACATTGTAGTTTGTAAAGGCTCCGACATTGTTACAGTAGAATAAGTGGTCAATTGTATACATCATCTTGTGAAGTGTACTAACAAGAAAAAACATAGTATATTTAGAGACTGTGCAAATGATTCACATTCAAAATGACTGATTATGGCATGAAACTTCCTAATATTTGAAAATATTTAAAGTGTTAACCTTCAGTAATCATGGAACACAAATAAAATTGATAAAAAAATTTAAAAAACATTTACAGTGTTAGCTTTGAGGTTTACTGCACACACAAAAAAAACATATTGGGTTTGCTTGTGCAAAAATATATATTTTAACAGACAAGATAGACTGTCTAGACACTGTTCTTTAAATGGTAAATAAAAGACTGCATTTATATCTCAAGCTTTTTTTTTTTGCGACAGGTGCAAACATGTTAAAATGGCCCAAAACATTTCCTTAAAGAGCAAAACGCTGCACTTTCAATGTGCAATGTCAATTTAAAACAAAAATGTGCCAAAGCACATGCATATGAGGAAACTTCTTCACCCACTTTACAAAACATGCGAAAACAAAATGCTGCAAATAAAAATGTCCAAACACCTGTCTGCCACCGTAAAACTAGGATTGAACCCTCAACCTTCTGATTGAAAGACAACTGACAGCTACATTCGCTCTTAACAGCTTAAGAACACATAAAGTGTATAGTCAAAGTTAAATAAACTATGTGAAAGGGCCACTAACGTTTTCAAGTGTTAACCGAAACATAATAGCCCAGTCTGCTCTCATTGGCTGGCTGGCCGGCTCTGTTGTGATTGGTCAACGGCTTAGAGATGTACCGCCCCCTAGCCCATCACGTACAATGTGTTGAAGCGCTAGGCAATAAAAGTGTGAGTGTTACCTACTGTAGTGATGTCACTATGTTAAGGAAGTAAACAAAGGAGTCCAATGGAGACATTTCAGGCAGGGGGGGGGGGAGTGTGTCGGAGAGAAACAAAACTCAGGGACTTGAGCCTTTGCAGATCATTTACATAAGAAAAACCCAAATAAGCTCAAAAGGGCCCCTTAAATCAAGGTAATGTCATCTGAAGAACATTTATGTATATGTACTGGTTCAATATGAAATAAAAACAAAACATGACAGTTTTGCAGCTGTGTTGGTGTGACATCTCATAAAATGTTACAAGCCTTGTTCTCAATTGCTTTCTTCAAATGTTCCTGTATCCAGTCATCTGTTTCCCGCTCATGTCTTTTCGCCAGGTCCCTGACTTCTTTGTTCAGATGTTCTCTGCTGTAAAGGAAATGCGTCTTCTTCAAGTCGATCATGTCTTCTTCCTGTCTTTTCTTCAGTTTCTCTGTGTCTTTATGGAATTTTCTGTTTTTGCTGAGCTGTTTTATCATCAAGTCATTTGTGTCTCTTTGCAACTTCCTCAGATCCTCCTTTTCCTTTTCGGGCCTGTTCATATCTAATGAAACATCGTTATTAAACATGTTTCTGAATGCGTTGCACTCTTCAGCTTGCTTTCTGGCCTCCTCTTCTTTTTGCTTTCTTATTCCTCCCATATTTTTCTCATACAGTTTGTCTAATTCTTTACACTCTCTTTCTTCATATTCCATTCTGATCATTCCCTCTTCTTTCCTTTTCTTTTCAATTATTTTGATTTCCTGCTCCTGTTCTTGTCTTAGCTTTTCCCTGCGTTTTTGCTCCTCTTGCCTCTGCTTTTCTTCTCGATACTGTTTTTGCCACCATTCCATTCTTTCCTTCTCCCAGGCCTCTCGTTCTTGTCTCATGTTTTTTCTATCCTGTATTAATAGCATTAAGTCAGAAACAGAACTGTCTTCTGATAGATAATACCGTTTTTCTTCCAGACCTTCAAGTTTTTGTTCCCATTCACGTCTTTGGATTTCCTCCTGCAATTTCTTGTTCCGTTCCTCCTCTTCTCTCTTTTCTCTTTCTATTTCTCTCTTGCCTTCTTCCTGCTCCATCTTCTCTATGTATTTCTCCTTTTCTTTGGCTCTCTCTCTTTCTTGATCCAGTTGAGATGTTACCTCTGCCATTTTGCTTTCCTTCTCTTTTATTTCTTCTCAATGTTTTCTTTTCAAGTCCCTCTGCTCCCTCTGTATCTCTGCTTCCTTCTCTTCCATGATCTTCTCCATTTCCTTTCGTATGGCGGCCTCAGCTCTTTGGAACAAATCTGAGGTGTAGTATCCATCCCCATTATTCCTTATCATTGTTTCCACTTTAGTCAGGAGTTGGCTGACCTGAGTGCGATTTCTCGGATCGTTGTTATTGAAGACGTGGTATCTTCCTCCACATTCAGTTATCAGTTTCTTTAAGGAGTCCTCTGGACCTTCTCCTATGTAACTTTCAATTGTTTGGTCTTTAAGCTCATCGCCTCTCGTGAATAAAACAATGATGAAACATTCAGACTTCTTGCCAAAAAAACTCCCTGATCAGTTTCACAGTATCCTTTTCCTCCTGTGTTAACCGACAAATCCGGAGTACCAGTAAGAACACATGAGGTCCAGGAGCCAACATGCTGATGCATTTCGCAAGCTCCTGTTTAACTTGGTCGTTGGACAGAGCTGTATCGAACAAACCGGGGGTGTCGACCACAGCAACAGAGCGCCCGTCAATCTCTCCTGTTTCTTTTTGGCAAAGCTTGGTTACTGACGTTAGACAAACTTTGGAAGTAAAGCATTCTTTGTCCAAAATAGTGTTCCCAGTGGCGCTTTTTCCACAGCCAGTTTTCCCGATCAGCATCATCCTGAGACAGTCTTTACGAGGCGGCCCCCTCCTGACAGAGTGTCTACGCGGCACAATTGGAGGCTTGGGAGGCTGTTTCTCCGGAACCTGCTTGCGAAATTCTCTACGTGTCCCTATTGCAACAGATGCTCTATTCGGAGTCATCCTTTGAACGTTTCTGAGACTTTTATATTGCTCCGCATTTGTTGCACTTCTTACAAGCTTAGGAAGCATCCCTTTTGTGAAGCCACCAGATCCAACAACTCTCATATTTTTTAAAGGAAGTAAAACCTCAGACACTGACTGCTTGTTCTTAATGTTGAAGAAAGTATATTTCCCTCCAAAGGTCAGAAGGAGTTGTTGGATGTCTCTGTTTTCGTGTAGAAAGCTCTTAACATTATGATCAGAAATGAAAAGAATTATGGTAAAATCATTGATCCTATAGCTGAACGTTTTTCGGATGGTCTCTAGCTCTTTCTTGTCTTCCTCACTTGGGGGTTCTAAAGGCAGGACCAGGACAAAGCAACTCGGACGCCCCTCAGGGATCACAGAGGGAGATGCTCTCCAATGCTTCTTTCTTTCTTGCCTCCTGAGGTTTTCCAGACAAGGCAGGCAGCTCCACAAGGGTAACCCTACGTCCACAAACCTCTCCCTGCCTTTTAACACACTCTGATGATTCAACATGTGGACCAAACTTTCTTTCTCCCAGAAGAGCATTGGATGCTGAAGTCTTCCAGCCTCCATGTCTCCCAAACAAAACCAGGTTTAGAGCTGGTTTCGTGCATTCAGGTGCTCCCATGGGACCTGTGTCTTCAGTGTAGACTAAATATTGTCCCCTGTTTTCATCCACTATGTTCTCCATTTTCTCCATCAGTTCTTGGTGATCATACTCAGGAAAATCATCTTCATCCCAGTCCATTATATGTTGCCTTTGTTTACAGTCTTGGATGAGTTGATTAACTGAAGGATTACCTAGCCCACAATTTTGTGTTATGATAACCATTGCGTATTTAAAAGCATCTGGTCCAAAGAAGTTCATGAAGAACTTGATTTGTTGCCTATCCTGCTCAGTAAAATCAGAAGGGTTCACTAACAGGAGCAGAACATTTGGTCCAGGGGAGCATTGAACCACACACTTCTTTATCTCAAGTCTTACTCTCTCCAGTGGCAGACTGAAGACGTCTGCAGTTTTCAGAATTGTGAAAGGTTTTTTCCTCCACTCTCCCTCGGCATGTACACATTGCTTTGGGGTTCTTGGGAGAGAACCATCTCTTTTTGCAGTGATAAAGTTACTCAGTGTTGTCTTTTCATTTGGATTTTTTCCAAATATCGCAATCCTGAGGTCAGACACTGTAAAACAATGAGAACAAAAGCATTAAAAAGTAACATTACTTAATGACGGAATATCATTATCATCATTAATCCTTAATTAATGTCACTTCTAAATCTATCTTCAAAGACTTTTAGGGACAGGTATCCTCTAATGCAGGGGTGGGGAACCTTTTTCCTCTCAAGGGCCATTTCAATTTTTTCAACATCCTCCGAGGGCCGTACAAATTATTGACCTCTGCTTAAAAATACTAAAATCACAGCCCATTCATTTGGCCTTTCTTTCATGCTGTGCAAAGAAAAAGCAACCTCTTAATCCAGATATCTTACCATGACTCATGCATGCATGCGCGGTTGTGGGATGACCACCACAGAAAGATATGGACACAAGATGTGTTCAAATGTATTTAGTTTCCTATCCATGTGAACATGATTTAAATGGGGGGGAGGACCTAACCTCCTCTAGGGGGGTTCAAGAGGCATGCTCCACCGGGAAGATTTTTTTTTAAATGTTGAAGTTAAAAGCATCAATCTGGTGCACTTTGAGAGCAACATGAAGAGATCTATGGATACATCTCTCAACATCCATATGAAACAGAACTGTAAGCAGATTTATTTTTCTTTATGGATATTTTACAAATCACTCCCCTTTCAAAATGTATTCTTGTTTATTAATAACAACTTTTTTGTACTATCATACAGTATTTTATACCCGTTTACTTTATTCTCTTATTTTTTTATAACTATTCAAATGAATATAGGAATCATCTGCCTCACCTCACTGATTATATAGTAATAGTATTCTTATCTTCACTTCACCAACACCTCACCCTACTATTGCACTTTCAACTAGTCTTACTGTTGGTAATAGACTATCAGCAAATGAGAGATGGATAGACAGATGAGCTATGAATCCGTATGAGCTTCCTCTGGGGGAAGCATGTATAATCTGCTCATATATCTTCAAATAAACACTTTATGGCATCAATTCTTCAATTAACTGTTACTATTATACAGCGACTTTCTCATTTCTACCTAAAACTTCACCACACACCACCTTCACATTAGTCTTCTGCGGATATAGACTACATGCCAGAGAGTTTGAAAGAAATATAGAGCCTCGTTCGCTTGGAAAATTTTTCTTAGCATATCTTATATTTGATCAAAATCCAATGGTTCCCATCATATTACATCAAAATGTGATCTGAAACACCTAGGGTAATCATGGTATACCATCACGCGGTATTCCTTGCCTCTATAATATAATATATAAAGATTAAAATACAGGTCAAAACAATAACTTTCATCTGACGTCCACAGCTGTTACATCTTATTATCTCTAATTTCACAATCACAACATGTGAACAGTTAAGTACTCAAAATAAAATAGACGGTCAGCTGCTGTAATATTTCAATGATTCGTATGGCTCTAAAAACAACACATAATATACTTTATCAAAAGACTGCATTGATCTTTATACCATGATTTAACTTGCTCGGAAGTACTTTTGCCTGTAGACCCCAGTTCTAACAGCTCCCTTCTCAGCCTACAATACTGTCAACAGGTGAGCTTGCAATGTATACTCCGGAATAATCAGAGTTTCACGCTATCAGATGTCGACTTCTTTAGCATCCGCTGGCCATCGCTCCTACGCTGTGTAAAAACCACAGACATAATCCTGAGGCATGTCATCAAGCCAGACTACGTTATTCTCATCAAAAGGAGTGCTTGCATAGATTTTCATTCAGGTTTACCAGGAATGGCGCTCAATCACAATATTATTCAAACTGCCCAAACTATACAATTCTAAACCTCTTGCATACGCTGACGCAATTCGCCAGCAGACTAATGATAGTGTGAGTGAAGTTTGGTATAAATATACTGGTATAATAGTAACAACGTTATTGAAGATGATAGCCATATTTATTTGTATATTTTATCATATGTAAAATATTCACATTTACAAAATTTACATTAACCATGCATTCTTTGCAAACTGCTCCTGCGTAGTCCTGACCTACTAGAAGACTATTGATGAGTAGGTGAGTATTGTAGTAATATGCTCTATTCAAGTGATTGAACTATTACTGTAGGCCGATGCATGTTTTTTCTTTTTTGCAGAGTTATATTCTGCAGAGGGTGCTCTGAACACGCATTTCTATACATACGTCTGCGGATAAGAGACCTATCGAATATGTTCAGTTTGGAGGATATCACTACCGCCTTTTCTTTAGATGAAAATGCTGAGTTCGTTGTCCAACCTTACCACAATACTTACAGAGACGTCATTTGTGAATGATAACGTCTTTGTATCCATGAGCTTACTTGATCGTAAAATATGAAAATCTGCCAATATCGAAATCCAGACTTCATACTCAATCTGCTGCTAATGCTGGCAGTCAAACAGAAAGCCGTTGCAATTGGTGATATATTTTCAAATGCTCTTCAACTAGTTTACTAGTCCACTCGAGAGGCAACATGAATATATGTGAATGAGCGCCCTTCCTGGTTAAAGCGAAATGGGTAATTGGCAACGTCTGATCACTTACTGTAGACCCACATAGTAAGCATCTAAAACCTCTATAACAAATCAATACTAGTTACACGATATAAACCACCTATACTGTTTTAAATAGAACTGCTTCGGAATGTAATGACCTGCCTGAGTCTCCTTGAAATACCGGGCAAGTTCATTTCAAAACTCAGAAATGTTCAATCTAACTAACAAGTAACCATCTATCTTCTATACCATTATATATA